TTTTTTATCGATTTCATATTTTGTAACACTGCAACGAGTTTTCGATTAACAAACTCAACGATTTCATATCGAGCAATGGCAACACTGTACGGGAAAGAAAAAGAAAAAAAAAAAAAAAAAAAGAGCATATTTGTCTCTAGCGCGCGAGACTGTGTATCGGAAATTCTGCAGATATGCTCATTTTAAAATTATCTTGCGATATTGCCGTTGAACTGAATTTTATGCTTTAAGTGCGAAGTACATGATATTTAATAAACAAAGGTAACCTACAAAATGTTAAAAAAGCGCCCTTTTTTGGGGGGTAATGTAAATAAAATCTGAAGGTTTTTCAGATTTTTTTTTTAAACGAAACGAAAATCATTATATGTGATACACGATATAACTGTCCAGATGTTAAAGAAACATCTTGGTATTGTGGATTATCCGGAGGTCCAAGCTAATCGGAGGAGCCAAAAGTAAATTTTGGTTGCCATCTCCGAAGCTGTTTCTTCGGCTGCTATGAAGTAACTATGGCGACGATTTCTCTTTCACCCTCCTCCCCCTCTTATAAAACGACACTGAGAATGTTTTTCAACCTAAATCCTATAAGGTTCTCGAACTCTTGGATCTTTCACATAATAATAAGAAGAAAGATGAAATTCCTTAATACATTCTTAAACAAACCAAAAAAAAAAAAAAAAAAAAACATTACGACGCACCGAGAAGAGATAAAGCAAATTGAAAACAAATTGATATGCATACAGGTTTCAACGGAAAATGCAAATTTTACATTTTAGCTGCCAATGAATGAACGGTTGTCGCTACAGCGCATCTGATCTGTTAACTGGCAGGATATTTAATAGGAGAAATTACGATTGTAGGTCATAAATTCTTCGCGAATTTCATTCCGTGTACTCTGGTAGACAGTAACTATGCCTCGCATACAGGTGCGCGAACGATATGCGCAGATGTCAGAAATTGAGAGAGGTCGTGTAGTGGACTCAAACAAGCCGGTTGGTTTTATCGGCGAATAGCTTGACATTTGAGCAGGAACGATGCCACTATTAGACGATGTTAGCAGGAATGGGTGAACCATGGCCGCACACAGGGTCAAGAACGAAGCGGTAGGCCTAGAGAAACGACAGAACGTGAAGACCGAGCAATCGTCAGAGCGGCACTTACAGCCCCAGATGCATCATTATCATCGATTTTACGTACAACTAGTGCTTCAGTGACCGCAAGGACCATTCATAGACGGCTCACAGAAAGGGGGCTGAGGACTACAGCGCCCCTTGCGCCGACTACCATTGACCTCTGCACAACGTCAAGCACGTTTGCAGTGGTGTCGGGCTCATTCGCAATGAAATGTCACTGACTGGAGTAGAATAGTCTTCAGTGATGAACCCCGCTTTTATCTGAGCCCCGATGACCAGCGAAGGCGAGTCTGGAGACAGCGGTGATACCAACTTGACTGTCTTCCGGCAGACAGACCGACAACCAGGAGTGATGGTCTGGGGTGCCATTTCATTTCATAGTAGGACCCCTCTGGTTGTCATCCGTCGCAACCTTGCACAGCGGTACGTCGACGAAGTTCTAAAGCCCGTTGTGTTGCCCTTCATGTCACGCCACCTTGGGCTTACATTTCAGCAAGGTAATGCCCGCCCCCACACTGCACATGTTTCTACTGCTTGCCTTAGTGCTTGCCGAACATTACCTTGGCCAGCAAGGTCGCCGGATCTCTCTCGTATTGAGCACGTTTGGAGCATTATGGGCAGGGCCCTCCAATTAGCTCAGAATGTTGACGATCTAATGCGCCAGTTGGACAGAATTTGGCACGACATCCGCAACCTCTATCAATTGATGCCAAGCCGAATAACTGCTTGCATAAGGACCAGAGGTGGACAAACGCGTTACTGACTTTTTCCCTTTGTGAAGCTCTATCACTTCAATAAATCATCCAATTTTTCTCAAACTGTAATCATTTGTTTTTCTCTACATGTACATCTACCGATTTTCGTCCCATTCGGATAACTCCCTCTTGGTGCGTCTTTTTTTTTTTTTTTTTTTTTTTTTTTTTTTGTCTAAGTTTTTAACTGGAACAAAATTGAGATCTGCGAGTAATGAAAAAAAATTATATGAACACAGTTTTTAAAAATACATCCATCTAATATTTAGAGGATATAAACGAAATTTAGTAAATAAAATACATAATTGAAACTCTTGAATGTTGAGATTCATTTTCGCGGTATAATACAAAAAAAGTAATTGAGTAACATTTGAAATTTTTTGCATTTTTAAATTACTTTTTGAGGTAAATCAAGTTTTGAGGGGAAAGGATTACTTCAAAAATTAACGTGGATAAATACTAAACATGGAGCTGTAAATTCTCTGTAGAAATTTAATAGTGTGGCACTCAAGGTTTCTGTGATTGGTGATCTAGTTCCACTGAAATTACAGCATGCATGTTTCCTTTAATGAACACATCTGTTGGATTGAAAAGAATACATTTTTTCAAAATTTAGAGTACCGTTTAACGCTTTTGTAAGTTACAGCTCATAAGGATCGAATGCCGAAATGTACGAAGATTCGAGCTTTCGGATGTCCCATCGAATCACGGATTCTTTTTTTGCCAGCAAGACCTGGCAACCATTTACACAACGAGAATACATACGGGGAAATGGGCTATTTCTTTATAGGATGGCTATTATTATACTGATTTACGACTTTGATTTAGATATTCAAATCACAAATAAGCATCTTTTTTACTTATACTACATTTTTATGCCATTTCTTCACGACAAGTATTTTCTGTTTAGTATTTAACAGATCTGAATTAATTTTAACAAGTATCAAGATAGGAAAATTTTCAATTTCCTCATTTTCATTACATTTTTCTATTCGAAAAATATTATTATATTGCCTCGTACATCCCTAAATTTTAGGAGAAAATTTATAGATCTAGTAATAAGCGCCTAGCATTTAAATTTGATCTTATGTTAATTAGGGCGTCAAATAAGTATGGTGTGCAACTGTAGGATACAGGTGTAGGGGCAAATTATATTGAAATAACGTATAAAATAGATTTTAATTTAAATGTATTTATTTCAGAAAAATATTCCAATGCATTTGTTTCAAAGTTCAAATTTTCAAACATGAATTTTTAAAAGTTTATAAAAAATCATTGAAATCTTTTATAACGCTATTTATGTTTCCTTTAAATTATTCTTTTCTTGGACGCTGCAACTCTTTTCTATGCATTACCAGTTTTGCTGTTCTGTCATCTAACTCTTGTCTACCACTGACTCTTGTCTCTTTCGCAATGTCTTGATGAAGTGTTTCTCTCTGCAAAACCAAGTACATTAAAAGACATCTTCAAACTTAATGTTTTGAGTTTCATTTGTAGAATTTCCATACTGTATTTGTAATTGTACAACTAGTTCTCATAAAATGCCTTTACAGATCTGTTGAAAGTGCTCAAGGCTTGTTTTATGAGCTGTCCATTTTTATTTCAAGCCTTTCATCTTTCAAGTTTAAGGATTTTAGAGTCGATGAAAATCTTTACTTTAAATTTTGCTCTGGAAATTGTTTGAAAATTTTTCTCCTAAGAAGTAATTAAAAACACTTATTTTTAGATAGTACCTTTTTTTTTAAACTCTTTGTTTCATGAACTATTTTCTTTTTCACTCTAAATCAGACTGGAAAGTTTTTTTGGGGGGAGGGCCAAGAGGGATCCGAGCTTTTATTATTCTCAAAGTCCACACGTATACAGCATTTAATTACGTGGTACTTATGATACACTTTAAAAGCGTCCAAAAACGTTCTTTGCAAATTCTATGCTCTGTAGAGTAACCGTAAATGAAACAAAATATGTCCAAAAAATTTACTGTAATAGACATTTAAACACTTGTTACTTGAACAATACCCCAAATAATAGCTTCTAATCGAATAAACGACAAAATGATAAATTTCTATCGAAATACACTATCGAGAATTTATAATGCTGTTTACTCTCATAATTAAAGATAAAATATTTTCGAATAAACTCTTATAATGTATTCTCTCCCGCCTTACAGTATACCTTCATGGTGTAACGGTAGCACACTCAACGAGTATTCGAGAGGTCCAGGGTTCGAGTCCCGGTAAGGGCATTGCATTTCACTTCTCTTGCTTCAAAAATACCTAATGACTTTACAGTGGCGTCTGAACTAAAAAGTGGTGGATAATAATTTGTCACTGTTTTTTGAACCTCAGTCGCCCGTTAAAAGGGGAATTTTCTCCCTCCTTCCAACATGCCTTCGTGGTGTAACAGTAGCACCCTCGGCGCGTATTCAAGAGGTCCAGGTTCGAGACCTGGCGAGGGCATTGCACGTTTTTTCAACTTCCTGACATTAAAAAAATTAATAAATAAAAAATATGACTGCACGCTTATAACTTAGAAAACAAAGTACTGGATATATGAGTATTTGATAGGGATGTCTCATTGTTCAGTAAAACTGGAGATTAAAAGGAAATAGCTCTTAGATCTCATACCCTTACTATTTTCCATCTGCCTTTATTTATTTCTTAATGTTATCATTTCTATGCATGTAAATATTTACAAACATTTAATGTATTCTTCACTACAAAGTTTCTACAAATGCAGTAAAAGCTATCAAAAGAGGAATTAAAACAACTTCTAGCATCTATGCAAATGTCATATAATGGTGCATTTTAGAAAATATATATATGCACGCATGCCTCAGCGGGGGGTTTAGGATTATTCGTGTATGATTTTTAAAATATTAAAAATTTGTGTTCGGTACATCAAGGTGTTTCAAGGACAGATTTAATTAAATTTTACTTATTACTAATTTGTTCCTTTGGAGTTCATTAGAGCATAACGACTTCCGCAGTTTCCTCCTGCTTTACAATTTTTGCCCTCGGGTAGAAAATGCTCCGCGTCGGTAAGTCCTTGAAAGCAGGTTTACCTTAGCAGAGACGCCAAGTCTTTCTTTTGCTTCCTCGGCGTTGGGTTGTGCAATGTGGAGGCGAATGGATACATCATTACAAAAGCCTCAGACTCAGAAAGTGAAACAGGAGGACTAGAATGCACAGAAGCAGTTATAAATATTGTTTAACCTGAAAAAGTAAAGCAGTAACTTAAATAATTAATTGCCGAGGCCTGCAGGAAGAAGAGTGAGTTTTTAATTTGATATCATGTTTGAGGAATTACAGATTAGAATGTAAGTTCGCGACAAATAATAGCGATTATGCAGGACTCTAGGGAACTGAGGATTGCGTTATAAGAAATCTTAAATTCCTGATCTGATTTAAATCCAGGAAGCTCATTTCTACGTAGTTTCCCCTCCCCCCGTCCCTACTGCCCTTACGTGTATTTAGCATCTGCGTGAAAAATAAAACTTGCAGGTAAGAAAAAATTCTATACTAATTTATAATATTATCGCCAATATATTTTTTAACTTCATTTCAACGTTGAAAACTTGGTTTAATAAATTATATCAAAATGTTGTGTTATTTATATTAAAAAAAAAGGAAGCAAAATATTTGAAGGATATTTTATTGGCTTATATTCTAGCAAATTTTGTTTCATTGTTTCATTAAAAATGTTATTTACATTTAAAAAAAGGAAGCAAAATATTTGAAGGATATTTTATTGGCTTACATTCTAGCAAATTTTGTTTCCTTGTTTCATTAAAAATGTTATTTACATTTAAAAAAAGGAAGCAAAATATTTATAGGAATTTTTGTTGGTTTATATTTTAGCGGATTTCCTTTCGTTGAACTTAAAACCCTTATAAATCCTGTCTCATTTAAGTATCTTAAGCACGTGATATTAAATACTTCTTGATTGTTTAAAAAGGAAAGAAGTTTTCGATTTGGAATTGTTAATAGACTTGCACATTTTGTGCTGTGAAGATACAAATTTAGGAAGACTTTTCTTCTATTCGTCAGATTCTTTAAATTAAAATCTGAAGAATGAAGTCGCAAGTAATATTTCTGTGTGCTTAATAATATATCTATTTTAATGAGCAGCTGAGATTTTTTAATATAGAAGTGTAACATGCTTATACACTGCATTTTATGCTTTCTTTAAATTATTCTTAATGTTAGCCAAAAACATTTTGCTTTAAGTACCAGCCCTAGTACTTTAACAAACATTAAACGTGGCGTCTCACCTTGAATGATTCTTCGAAGGCTTTTCTTTTTTAATTAGTTTCGAGGTTGAGGTGTTTCTTTACGTCACTGAGCGAAAGTGAGCAAGAGGCAATTAGAACAATTTTATTCGAAAACTTTTTCCTTTGTCCTTGGGCTGTCAAACCTTCTTTCGGGTACTGTTATCAGTTGAAAGCACTATCTGTTTATAATAACGGGCAGATTAAAGCCATTGATATATAGAAAAAGTTATTTCTTTAAGATTCCAGTAATTAACTACTGTACTGTTCTTTAACTGACGTACAAATAATCATATTTTAGCTGTACTGAAATTGCAGGGTGTCACAGGGACTCTTGTACAGAGATATTATAGAGACAGAGTACAGAGTTATATTATAGAGATAGAGACAGAGTATCTTGTACAGAGATATTATAGAGACAGAGATATTTCAGATCAGATTTACTATGCAGTGATAGTACTAAAGCACGATATTGTTAATTTTACTATGCAGTGATAAGTAATTATCAAGAATCATAAAGATCTTTAGTTTATGACAGTGACTTTTAAATTTATAAGTAAAAGAATTCCTTGTGCGGGAGCTCTTGTGCATTTACAATTTTTTTCTATTTACCAGAAATGCGGAGGTTGTTTTGTTGCTGTGATCTCATCCTTTGGGCAATTGGTAAATTACTTCAGGGCTTCCTGATTTTGGATTTTCCAAGGATGATCTTCGCTCTCATTGTGAGTGGGTCCGCCTTATTGGTGACTCTTCGATTCCTGTATAGATTTTTGTTTCCCAAGGACGAGAAAGACTATGAAGGATACAAAGAAAGATGGTTCGGCAAGGATCTTAGTTCGCTGCCTAGCGATGGTATGTAACGAATCTTATTTACCTTATATTTTACTTTAATGACATATTTAACTTATATTAACTTCATATCAAATTAAACAGTAGTAAGAAGCCTTTCTTAATTCGGTACTTTTCCGTTTCGCCGGCGCAAATCTCGCCAAGCAGACTTTGTTGGCGACAACATACAGTATACACATAAAAAATGTTAATTCTAAGAATTTTTTTTTTTATTGTGAAGGCATAAACATTTTAATATGGTTTAAAATTTTGTAAAAAGCCAATAAATAAAGACAATAAATTTGTAAAAAGACATTAATTTAAGAATTTACTATGATTTCATGGTTCAAAATCCTGATTCGCCGGTTCGTATCACGTGACCCCAAGTGATCTCATCTCACGTAAACTACGCTACTAAAATTTAATTCGCTCAGTAATAATCTACATTAATTTTAAGTTAAATCTTAATTTGGAATACAAGTTTAAATGCAAGAATTATTTCAATTCGTACGAATAGCTTACTCAGAAATTATGTAAAACCGCAGTGCTTTACTTCGCTAGTGCATTCTCATTAGAATTGATGAATTTAACACTTGATTTCGCCTTCGGATGAGCGGTGTAATTGCGTTCTAATTGACTTAATTACCGTGAATTGTCTTAGGGGATAAAATTTAAATATCGTGTAAAAATTCTATATTATTGTATGCCAGTATTGAAAGAAACAATCTGATAAGAAATGGCTTCAACTTGTTTTGAAACTGAGTAAAAGGTTACCAGCGAAGATATTCCGTCTGGCATCAGTTAAACCATTATTGGCGACTTTATCGTTTGCGCCGGCAAAACGGAAAAGTACCCTTAATTCTTTATTATATGGTTTCAAATCTGAGGAAAATATGAAACAATTTTGACTCTGCTTTGAAGCAGCAGAATGTCCTGTGGATTCTTGTACAATTAAAGCAAATACATCATACAAGTATATGTATTTGTGAATTAATAAATTTATCGTACGGAGATCATAAAAAGCTCTTTAAATGTCATGAAAAATTCTTATCTGTTTGTGTGCGTATTTCCGTGTTTACCGCTATGGGTAAATATTTCTAATTATCATATTAGAATTCCGATTTTTTTATTTTTTGTTAAAATGGTATTGCTCTGCAGGGATGCCAGTCTATGCTGTTCTTGCTTTTGTTTCTCTGAGGGCGTACAATGGTAGACGAAAATACTGGCACGCAGCCAACTCATCTTCTTTGTGTGAACTAAGCAGGAAAAATATTAGTCATCAATTAAGCTTGATAAAACATAGTCCAATAAATTTTTACAATGATCAGTTAGTAAGTAAGAAATGAAAAAAAAAAAAAAAAATGGAAGCATATGCCATTATCAATTATTTAATATTGAAAATTTCAGAAATTATTTTCGTGATCTGGATGGATAAAAGCTTTGGCGTAGTTATTTTAATATGGCAAAAGAAACGAAGGCTATCTGAATAAGAGGAACGATGCCTTCCTGAAAGACTTTCGAACAGAAACTGGTTCCTATTTATTTTATCGACAAAACCACGAAAACCAACTATGCAGCTCGCCCATTCGCCTGAGTTCAAATTAGGGTCAACTATTAGCATTCAAAGGTCTTAACCATTCGCATACTGATGAGACAGTTTTGACATAAAACGTTATTTGTACAAATAAACTTGGTTGTATCATTTTTAATGATTAACACGGAAGAGTATACGAAATTTCAAGTTTCTTTTATCTATAGCAAACATAAAAAGCGTTATGATTTTAATTTGTTTACTGTTTTTATCAAAAGTGCTAAGGGCTCGAAGCAACAATACGGGGGGGGAGTTAAATTCATCTTGCTTGGGCATAAACAGAATAAATCATATCCAGAAAGCAAGAAGCTTACGAATAAATCGATGTCTCTGCGACATGTAACTAAACGTTTCGAACTGAAATGTAACTTGAAAAATAAACCTTCATAATTAACCTTCAGGAAAAAAGCGGTCTTTCATCAAGAAAAATTCTAATTTAATTTAAAAGTTTTAATTAATTAAATAAAGTTTCAATAAAACTAAATAAAGTCATAGGGAAGAAAGCTAATTTCAATACTGTTCCACAGAAAATTGAGAATTGTTTAAAAAAAGCTACGTATTGCCAAAATTTACTCAAAAGGAAAATAATAATAAATTTGTTTTTGCAGAAGAGCTCTTGAAACAACTTTAAACCATTTTAATTAAATGTAATACTTTCAGATGAAAACAAATTCAACCTAATTTGCTACAAAACCAAATTTGACTTTGCAGATAAATTGAAGGTTGAAGAAGCAATCTTTGAACCCACTCTGAAGCATAAGGCTCAAACTGTATTGTTTTAGGGTTGCATGTTAGCCATTGATGAGAGAAACCTTTTAATTATTGAGAATGTAATGGATAGAATTTTATATTTGAACACCGAAGCACAATCTTCAGTAAAAGACACACACACACATATATATGGGTAGGTGGAGCCAAAAAAATTTACAGCATCAGCATTTGAAAAGTAATTATTGTGGTGAGAATGCTTTATCCCCAGGGTGTAGGTAGATGGCACTAGTTGTTTAGTAGCGGTTAGGGTAAGTTTGAGAGCGATTGAAATGGTAAGACTTTTAGAAAAGTGGGATCTCGCTTGAAAGTGTGAGGCATGATTCGTTGTCCTGACTGGTGCAAACTTCCTGGCATGTTGAGTGATAGTGCCGACCTCCTGCATGGCAATGCCTGGCCCCATACTGCTAACCAAACTCAAGAATTGCTGCAAAAGTTTAAGTGAGAAATCTGAAGTCTACCCCTTCCCCCGCGCCCATGGAGGTAGGAAAGGGAGGAGGGGCCATTCCGCGCTAGAAGTGAAGCACTGCTTTGAAGCTTGGGTCACCAGACGGGGTGTTCTTTGTTTACATTCAGAAGCTCGCTTGACAAAATTCTGATAGTATTTCGACACACGACAGTTCCATAGAAATCGAAAAAGGGACACTCTCGCATGAAAGAAACATTCATAGTGTGATGGATAATAGCAATTTGTATAATTAAGACACAATAACACAATATATATATACAATAACACAATATAACAATTTGTATAGTTTACTGACATTTACGCAAAAATCACATCTTGGTTATTTTTCGATAACTAACAACAGCGATTTTGAATATGAATTTGTTTTATAAAATTCTAAGCAGTTGCACTACAAAAATATAGATTTTAAGAAAATTGCTAAAAGAGATCTGCCAAAATTTATTTTCTAGAAGATTTGAAAAGTTTGAAACTTGATGGCTAAATGTAAATATAAAATTATGTATGTTAAAATATTTGTAATTAGGCACATAGGTCAGATTAAGTTTTTATTAAATAGAGTAACGCATGCAAGGGCTATCTGCCTAAAGAGAGAGATGCCATCGTGAAGGAATTTTGAAGAAAAACTGACCTTTGAGTGGGTATTAAAAATAATACTTATAATTTTCATTCAAATTATATTCATATATATTTTTTATGTAAAACTTTCGGGTGTATGCTAAATTAGTGTAAATTACTTTACACGAAAAATATAGTGAATGCACAGAAATTAAAGATTTGCACATGCCGGAAATGATAAATAGGAAATAAGTATGGGTATTTATGCATGTGCTTGCAAAAAGCATGTATCTGCCTTTGACAAAATACTTAAATATTTCATTAAATTATTTATAAATGTATTTGAAATGAAGAATTTATTCACTTATAAACAACTGTGAAGTACTGTGAAGAAATCTAATGATTAAATGTATCTAAATTTATAATGATTATAAATGTTATCTAAATATATAATAACCTTAATATTGAATTGTAAACATAAATTGAAATCCTGTTGACAAATACGTTATAAAACTATTTAAGCAAGAATTGTTCGTATTGGAAAGCAGTCTGTTAAAAGGTATTGGTAAAGCAAATGCTATGAGATGCGCACTTAAGAACGTAATAAAGAGAGTTTTGGAATATGTATTGTTGAAATTGAAGGGTAAAAAAAAAAAATCTGATAAGTATAATTAAAAGAATTATTCCCTTTACATTTTATAATAACTCAGTTACAAGTTTTAAATAATACTTTAAAAAAAAAAAACTTATTTTATTCCCTTTCAGAAATGTTCAGAGAAAGTCAAATACTATTTAATACCTATTAATTATTAGGAATTAGCGAAATACTTATTTAAAGTATTTTCGCTAATTCTAATAATTCTCTAATTTAAAATGAACCGAATAGAGCATTAATTATAAATTGACTTACATTTTTCAATTTAAAAGAAGCCAAAAAAATCATGTCATATTTAAGAAAGTATTTTAGGAAGAAGCTCTATAAATAGAAAAGAAATAATGCATAATTTTAATATTAATAATACAATAAACTTTGATCTTAATTTTTGTACCTTAACCGAATAAAATCGAATTACCTTAATTTTTTTTTCTGGTGTAATTAACGAAAACTTGTGAAAATATTTCATTCAAATTAAACCATTCTGAGAAAAACTGTCCTGTGAAAAATATAGCATTTAATTCCGTTCAGACTGTAATGTTGTTTAAAAATATGTTGTTTTCACATACTTAGGACTCTGAAGTGTTGTAGAAAAAGAAAATATATACATTTATATGTATATTTGCGACGTAATTACAAAATATTTACACCCGAACGCGTCAAATCCCATAGAACTCAATGGTAAATGACCCAATGTTTTGGTCACCACGTAGGGATCGCCGGTGCTTCAGAGCAGGGTACGGAGAAACTTGTTTAGGGCGACTCCATCTTACTTCCTACCTCCATGCTATAGCCCAATGACTATTTTTTCCCCCGAAATTGAAGGAACATTTATCTGGAATGTGGGTTCTCTTCAACGCTACCGAGAACTGTCTCAGTGGGCAGGGACGTGATTTCTTCCAAGCCAGGTTAAATAAGTTGGTCTTGTGTTCAGATAAATGCATAAATAGATTTGGTGATTATATGGAAAAATGATAGGCAAATAT